TGTTTCTTAACCATTCTAGTAGCTTTTTGAACCCTATCCAATCAGATGATAGTGTTTCTTAACCATTCTAGTAGCTTTTTGAACCCTATCCAATCAGATTATAGTGTTTCTTAACCATTCTAGTAGCTTTTTGAACCCTATCCAATTAGATGATAGTGTTTCTTAAATAAAGAGAGCATAACTGTCCACAATATTCCAAGTGAGACATAACTAGGGATTTATAGAGATATATAATTATCTCTTTTGATGTGTAATCCTTATATCTTTAAATACATCTTAAAATTTTGTGAATTTTTTAGGCTACTATTAACAGATCACTGCCTTGATAACTTGGGTGGGTTTCTGAGTCTGTGTGTGATCTAATGTATGATAACTAAAATGCATAAGTTAGCAGTTACTATCGTTGAATATCATTTATTAAATATATGTCCAGTTGATCCAAGTTATAGTATATTAAATATCTTCAATAAAGCTAGAAAAACCAAAGAATTGAATGTCATCAGTAAACTTTACTGATTTACTAGTTTTTCCTGTCTGTTATCATTAATACAAATAATAAGAAAAACCAAGGCTCAAGCACTGATCCCCAAGGCATCCCAATTTTTAAAAGGGTCCAGTTTAAATGGACTCCATTAATATCAATCTTTTGGTTTCTCTCATATAGCCACCCTACAATCCTATTAACTAATTCTTCCCTAAATCCTACCACTGTGATTTTCTTAACTAATCTGTGTGGTACCTTATCAAAAAATGTATGAAAATCTGAGTACACCATGTCCACACCCTTTTTGTTGTCTAGATAACAAGTAATATTCTTTAAAGACGTTAACAGATTTGTAATTCTATGTTTCTTGTTAGTGAGCATAACCAAAAATATGGTGATATAATAATAGCGTGGATAGAAATAATGAAATATAATTCCATTCACTCGAGGGAATGCTATCAGGAAAGTTATATACACTCGTGTAAAATAGCATTTTATCAAGAATTATTTTTTTATTTAATCCCTGCAATATGTCCATTTTCATTGGTCATATCTAAAGATGAAAATCCTCGGGAAGGTAATATTTCGAACCCTGAATAATAATAGTAATCTTATAATAAGTCATCAAACAACAGATGGATTTTACAGATGTAGAGAGCTGATGAATTAGTCAAACTACTACAACATAAATATATACAAAGTTAGAACTCCTTATTACAATTAAACAAGAGAATTCTGTTTCATTAGTTAGAAACTTTTGGTAAAAAGCCTTTTTGACTTTTTTTTTTTCACTGTGTTGTTTTTTGTTTTAGTCCCATATGTTTTGATGTTATTGAAGAAGCTCATATGACAAAATGTGGACATACATTTTGGTAAGTAAAAATTCAGTTGCTTGATTAAAAGAAAAAAAATTAAAACGTCTTGGTGACATCAAAGTATGAATAATAAATTTCTCACCAGTAAGAGTTGTATGTCACCTAGTAAACACCGTAATAAATTCTGTTGGAAGTTACACTAACAGATAGTTAATATTTTCACTTTGACTTATTTTTGTTGTCTAATCAAATCTGTGTGTGGATATTATTATTTCAGAGCCATAAATATAAACAAAGCTATAGTAAACCATATTATATCAACTTTTTGTTAAAGTAGGATAGAAAATGCAAGTTTTAGAATTATAGTACTACCACATAAATGACAAAAATATTTATAGGCATTACTAACATTTTTAATTTGGTATAAAAAGGCGTGTTGTGATAGTAATGTGTTTGTATTGACTTACACCATCTGTACTGGTTGTTGTGTAATGTGTAAGACTGAAATATCTGAGACTTTAACTTGTAGAAATGTTTTTTGTTTTTTTCTGTTCCCCCAAACACCTTCTGAGTGAAATACTTAGATGTGTTTAAACTAAAGATGACTTAAAATCATAAATAATATTCAACGTTAAACTGGTACACAATTAAAAACATTTTATTTACGCCTATCTATGGCCTTCAAAAAGTTGACGACTCTACATGTTTCGACGTTACAACGTCATCCTCAGGAATTGTAACGTCGAAACATGCAGTCGTCAACATTTTGAAGGCCATAGATAGGCCTAATTAAAATGTTTTTAATTGTGTACCAGTTTAACGTTGAATATTATTTATGATTTTAACTTTATACACAAGTGCCAAAATACCATAATACAAATCATAGTTCGAGTGCAAGGCTGAGAAAGGTATTGTTCATCTGATAAATTATGGGATGTTTTAAAAACGATCCCTGGTATATTTAAAGCACTTGTGGGAGGTTTGTGTGTGTTACGTAGGGAATTAACCGGGAAATGTTAAAGAATGGTGTTGTTTCACAAAGAAGCTGTGGGACATATGTTGACTTAATTTGGCTAAAATATAGCCAAGTACAGTATGTGTCGCAGTTGGCAAAAAATGTCACTGACCTGCTACTGGTAACAAAGAAGTTGAATTATAATTATATTGTTACCAAGATAAATATTTAAAAGTTATATACAGTAAATAAAGTTGGCATTTAATTCTGAGCAATTTTTATACTAGTGTAATGTGCAAACAAGAGAAAAATATAACCAGCCATTAAAACTGTTCAGATGCATGTTGATAGGTGATGTTAAAATACAAGTACACAAGTAACCTTGTTGCTTAGGTAACATAAGTGGTAGTTGAAAGACTACTACAACTGATCATTACGGTTTTTAACAATTATTTTTTCAGACAAATCTTGTTCATATACGTTACTTTTGAAATTACGTAAAACATGTTTACACAAACGTTGAATGAACTTTAATTAACAGAACTTGAACTACAATTGTACATGAATAACTGTAGTCATTATAGTTGTCTAACAATAAAACATAGCCATATTAGTAAACATTTTGAATTTTTATTTCAAAAACTACATTGATCTTATATTAAACATAAACAAAATATAGTTGTCTTGACAAATTTCTATCAGTAACTGGTTGCTTTACTAGTACTACTTGACAAGCTAAAAGGATGGTTTTCATTAATTGTTTAGAATTTTAACATTCTAAGTAATAGAAATAGTAAGGTTATATCATAAAAATAATTTGATGTTTATGCTGTTATCAGTGAGCATTTCATTATATTATCAATACACTGGAAATGTTCTTCAATGATGTGAATTTTCTTTATCAATAGCAAAGTTTTTGCCATGTCTGATTGTCTCTACAAGAAATGTACACAGATACTATGATCATTCTTCCAAACGATATAAGAAAAGGAAAAAGACATTATTATCTTCAAGTAAAACTTATCTCATGTGATAAACGTTGCTTTAGTTACATTTTCAAATGTTTCAATTTTTGACCAATTTTCTCTATACATTTAATAATTGTTTACATCAAATTCTTTACCCAAAGTTTAAAGTTCAAATGCTGCTTATAATTCTTTTTAATGAACACTTTTCTTTTAATATTAATTTACTGTTTATTCTTACAGTACAAAATATTATAGTACAAGATATTGTTAATCTGTTATTTCAATGTACTTCCATACCTACCTGCTACTTAACAAAAACAGACAATGAATTATCAAACAACAGCCAACTACTCAAGTCAGTGGATAAAAGTACTGGCTTTTACAGTTTTAAATTATTAGAATTACAAAACAAAACAAAAGCCCCAAACATGTTTGAGTTATGAAGATTTATAGCAAGTTAACTGGTATTTTTAGGGAGAAAATCAGAAAGAAAATGTAAAAACTTTAAAAAAGAGTTTACTTTTGGCATTTAGTAGTTGGCAAACCTACTAAGCTCCCAATTTATGAAACTGAAGTTAAAGAAACAGTATTTTTGCAAACCAAACCACAACCAACCTTTTCGTGTACCAACTCTTGATTATTCAAATATATATGATTATTGTAAAATGACAAATTAAATTGAATACCAATATGGCTAGAAGTTAACTTTTGATGCTTCTAAATGTGGAAAATACTGCAAGTCTCAATGTCACACCTATCACATTAAGTCAATTATTCTTTAATCTCAGTATCAATGCTATTTGGTATCTTTAAAACTAATAATTTACAGACACAACTGTAAATGAGATTCTAATTCTCAAACAGAGGTTATTTAAAAACAAAATGTCAAGGGTCATCAGTTTAGTAGCACAGAGTCAAATGAGTTATTTTGCAGATACAGAAAAATCTCTTTTATAACACATGTAAATACACACACACACACACACACATATATATATATATATATATATAATGTATCTCTACATTAACAAACCCCACATATCTTAACATATTTTGTGGATACCCTATATCTTACAGACAATTTATTAGTTATTTCTCTCAATATATATTTTTTTATTTGTATCGTAAAGTTTACACGTTCTATTCGGTAGATAAACAAGTAACTACGTAAATAGTCTAAAATACTCTCATAATCTTGCTAATATCTTCCATCTCATACAATGTTTTTTTTGCATTAATTTTCACACTTTCCTTACATGAGATTTTATTGTCTGTGACTACAATAAAAAAAAACAATTTATTTCTTCTACTTTGTAAGTGGAAAATTTTACTCTTACCTTTTAAACACCCTTTCTCTCATTATTGTCCACAAACACTCAAGTAACATTAGCTTCCGTACATAATAATCCTCATATGCAGCTTACAAAGACAAAACTATCCAATACTGATTGTTTATTTACTTACTGGTACCGATTGTTACATTTATGTATTTAATATTTTATCAATATTTTGGGTGATTTTTTTACAAGTTTAATTGCATTAATCAAGACTCACTGAAAATACTACTTTTATATGAAAACTATTAATTAGCAAGCAACTTGTTTAACTTCCAAATAAACTATATGTAACTAATAGCTAGAGGGCTTCGTACATGCACAAACTATATGACTTAATAAACCAATTCTTTGTTGCTGTCAATATTTCTTGCTTATTATTATACTGTTACGATATAAATAAAATGCAAATTCTAATATTGATTCCATTACTTTATGCAATTTATAAGCATAAATCTGGTAGTAGCCTAATTTAATACATAGGTGTAGTTCTAACTTTTTAAATTTCACAATTACATTTACTAAGCAACCAGCTCACAAGAATAAACTGTATTTCAAACATTAATGTACGTTTGGTATACTTATCAATTGAATTTTTTCTGAATGGAAACTTTTCCATTTTCACAAGTATGCAATAAGAGTAACAATTTTAACATTACTGGGACTACATGACATTTAATAAATAATATTCATCATATAAAGGTCTTTCACACAAATTTCAGAAACCCGTTCAACTTCTATCATTTTTAATGTTTCAATCATGTATTATTATTTTTTTATATGCACAAATCAAAGGGGCTATGATGCTTACGTTTTGTTTGATAGTAACTCCTGAGTAAATTAACGTGATGTTTTGTTTGATAGTAACTCCTGAGTAAATTAATGTGACATTTTGTTTGATAGTAACTCCTGAGTAAATTAATGTGATGTTTTGTTTGATAGTAACTCCTGAGTAAATTAATGTGGTTTTGTTTGATAGTAACTCCTGAGTAAATTAATGTGATGTTTTGTTTGATAGTAACTCCCGGGTAAATTAATGTGGTTTTGTTTGATAGTAACTCCTGAGTAAATTAATGTTGTTTTGTTTGATAGTAACTCCTGAGTAAATTAATGTGACGTTTTGTGTGATAGTAACTCCTGAGTAAATTAATGTGACATTTTGTTTGATAGTAACTCCTGAGTAAATTAATGTGACGTTTTGTTTGATAGTAACTACTGAGTAAATTAATGTTGTTTTGTTTGATAGTAGCTCCTGAGTAAATTAATGTGACGTTTTGTTTGATAGTAACTCCTGAGTAAGTTAATGTGACATTTTGTTTGATAGTAACTCCCGAGTAAATTAATGCACAATCTTTTAAGTCCATATTCCTAATATTGTGGGTATTTCTATAGACTCCTTGCATCTCAGGAGTGAAACAAAAGCCACAGAGCTAAAAGTATAGTAAAATTTGATGAATCAAATTAGTATGGAAGATTTTAATTTCTTTTCATGCACGTTGTGCTGCAATATTATGAGCAAAAAACAGAAAATCCAACGTCTTTTGACACGATGAAAAATAAAAACCTTTATCATTAGTTACAGCTGACTAGTTCTGGTAACATCAGGGCTAGTGTCTACATGAAAATTTCTGAAAGACTAGTAGAAAGTTTCTTCAATGAAAATAAGAAGCAGTTCCTCTGAGTGACAGAAAACAATCTTCCACTTTAATTCACAACTAAATATTTCTTTTACAAGAATATCATTTTAGAGAACTTCTTTTTATTTGCTTATATTTAATGCTTTCATTCCAATGTATATGTATGAAACCAAACAACTGTTCACCATACGCTTTTGTATATATATATATATATATATGCCTATAAGGAAACTTTCTGATTACGACTTGTAACTGGCTGGTAAGTGATGATAACCTAGGGTTTACATGTGTGCCAAACAAAATTCTGTACGTATACTTACGTTGAATATCGTTCAAAGATGAAATACAAGTTATATATCCAGTAACTGTTTGCAATGTGTACTAGGTATATCTAAGTGTTGGGTGAAAGTTACTCTATAAAATGTAAACATTGATATATAACTGGGAAATGAGAGCTTACCTGTTACAAAGAAAAATTCTTTAAGTCTATTAATTGTTTTTTATTTAAGTATAAAAACTAATAAATGCTGACGTACGTCCAGTAATCACATTTTCGTCTATAATTTAAGGCACTGGAATGTATGTGTATCTGGTAAATGCAACTGGACAAACAGTTCAAGTTTTGTAGTCATACAATAGTTAATGTTTGGTAGGAAGCATACGTCAGTTATTGCTCGACTTTTCATATAAAAAATGTTGCCCTAACAAAAATTTCAATGCTCTCTGATAATTGTAGCTCAGTAATTATGGTGCTTGTTATTTACCATAAATAAACATAGACCAGTTGTTAGAAGGTGCAAAGGTACTTTAGAGGTGAGATCACTATATGGAATTTGAACATTAAATAAAACTCTCAACTTACGATAAAAGGTCTCTGCCGGCTCATTGTAATGATAAAGTCCACTTAGGCAGAGAATAATGCATGTGATTCTGGGGAGTTGAATACATTCTTGATTTTAATTGTCACAAATGTAACCTCAATATGGAATAAAATATTCTGAAGTTTGTTTCAAAGTAATTGTCAGAAAACTCTGTATAATTTGAAATACCCAAATACAACACACCTTGTTCCAGTTTCTTTAAAGCAGATTCAGTTTTTACATTTGAATAGTTAACATTCAATTTCAGTTATGAAATTCAGAACTTTATATCTTTAATGAATGTTTTTAAACACCAGAAATGAATAAGCAGTATAACACTCTGTCAAATATTTTGCTAAACTACATACAAACTTGTATATTTAATAGCACAACATTTATAATGATAACTCTGCTTACCAAAATATATATTTTTAAGAAAAACAGCATTTAAAAAATGTTATTATTCTGTGTTTGTTTCTTCGTTAATTCATCAAAACTAACAAACTAGAATCACAAAATTAACTAATGCTGGTGAGGGATAATTTTACATCTTAATCACTGATTGGTTTTTTCCACCCTGAAAGGAATATCTAATAATAAAACAATTAAAATATATCTTTCTGACTAGCAGGTTTTCCCTCATACAAGTTTTCAGAATGATTTAACTCTAAAGTCAAACACTTGACAGATACAGGTTCAAGCCTGTGTTGTTTTCCATGTACCTTACACTGAAACATTTTATAATAGTTGTACATTAACAACAAACTTAACTACCAAGACTTTGTAAATGGTTGGTCTCACTAGACAATTCAAAAATTGTATTACCAAACTTACCTTTTCACTTCTGATAATTCAATTTCAGAAACCCATATCTCACTCTTCTAAAGATTAATTTTACTCTTTAATATGTAACATAACATGGAAAACAATTTTTGAAACTAAACTTTCTGGGTATAATATACGATCTATCAGTAGTTACTTATTACAAAAATACAACAAAAAAAAGCTTAATAAGGTGATACAGTCAAAAAACAAGCCTAAAATAAAGTTGAACTTGTATTTGAACTTTGTGTAACTGACAGCACTAAAGCAACAATCAGCCTAGAAGGACACGTTTCAGTTTACTAGCAGCTACCTGCTCATCATCATCAGAGACTTCAGCCTCAGAACTGCTAGAAGAAGAAGCATAAGTTGGCTGACTGGTACAAGAAGGTGAGCACAGATACTGCAGTAGGGGTAGGCGGTATTTACCACAAAAATCCACAAACTTGATATGTTCAATTCTGGCATCAAAATAAACACCTATGAGAAAATAGAGCACAATATGACCAATTAAAAAAAAATAAAGATAGCAAATAATCAACCAGTCTACATTTACACATACATTATTGATAATATAAGGAGACATACAACTGCATAATAGAGTACTTGCAAATATACAAAATAATTAAAGTATTTATTCAAATCTTACATGTCAAGAATAACAATTAATACTGTATTCTGTGCATGACATGCATTCACCCTTGATGAAGATAAAGCAAACCTTCAAAGAAAAAAAAATGCATAATAAATATATACATGTAAAAAAAACAAAAACATTTCTCTAATCATATATCACATCCAAAGAGACAATTACTGGCCCTATTCATATCATCTTTCTTTGTCATTTTGTTTTAATTTCAAGATACTATGGAACTAAAACTATTTCTCAATATGGATTTTTAAACCTAATCTTCAAAGCATCTCCATTACAGAAATTGAAACATCAGTTAAGAATTTCCGTTCTTTCTGTCTCATAAATCATACTTCAAAATGTACAAATAATGAATAGATCTGAAGTCATTAACAAAATATGTAGATCACACCAATGTACTGTCACACTATTCTTCTGACACGAGTTTGTTCGTGTTGATAGCAGCTATACACTGCCTTAGTCTTTCTTCACTTAATATTTGATTGAAGTCCCCTTGGGTAGTTATAACTTTAGGAGTTTTAAGTATTAAAATTCTTTATCATCACAAAAATTCTTTAAAAAGCCAATAATATCACAAATAGTCATTTGTAGTGTAGTTAGGCTGATTTTCCCATCAACAACATATCCACTAGGCCTGGCTTCATTCTTAGCTGTGACTGAAAATAACAGATTTATCTTTCAATTCAGCAAACCGCACTATGTGTAAAAACTTGTGACACACACATATATATGATTTGCATGTTCAATTCACAGGATTGTATAGTTATAGAAAGGTACCTATTAAAATTCAGATGTTTACAGTTTTTGTTACACATTACTGTCCACCCAGATGCGAGTTATTTATCACAGTAATCTTAATACATCATAGCTGCTACTGTGTGTTTATTTTATGTTTGTGTGTTTGTGTCACACATTACTGTCCAACCAGATATAACTTGTTTATCACAGTAATCTTAATACATCATAGCTGCTACTGTGTGTTTATTTTATGTTTGTGTGTTTGTGTTACATATTACTGTCCACCCAGATATAACTTGTTTATCACAGTAATCTTAATACATCATAGCTGCTACTGTGTGTTTATTTTTGTTTGTGTCACACATTACTGTCCACCCAGATGCAAGTTATTTATCACAGTAATCTTAATACATCATAGCTGCTTCTGTGTGTTTATTTTTATGTATGTGTGTAATATATATAAAACTTACTGGCTTACCTTTACATTTTGGATTGACACACCTCTGAGCCAAAGCCAAGTAGTTAAACAAATTTGCAGGTAGATCACTGTTTGTATAAGTTATACGAGTGATCTTAATACAACGAGCTGCTAGTTCCAAGAGAGATGGAGGATCATAAGTCATTTCTCTTGCAAATCGAACAACCAAGGGGTTGTCTCTCAAACTCAGCTGTAAAAATAAATGGAAAATATTCTTAATAATGTTTTAACCGAAAATCCTAATGTGTGTAATACTAGATTTACATATGTTTTCAAGCACTCCTATATTCTTACTTCTTTCTTGAACCAGTAAATTTCTACATTAAAATGTTTTATTAAAAGCAGTAGTAAATTAAATGTATAAAGTTAGGAAAAAACAAATTCAAAAATATAATGCAATTTTTAATGGTGCAACTAAAATTTCATAGTATGTAGAAATATTGATAAAACAAAGAAACATTTTGTCAGCATAAAACCAAAATTAAGCAGAATTTGTTTATAACTCAATTCTGAAAACAGCCTCTAAAAGCATCATAAGCTACAACAGATGAGATAATAGCTTATTAGCTTAATAATCTATTCCACTAGTGTTTCTACTGGTTACAATTTTTTATTACCTACTTAACAAACTGTTCTGAACTTTTAATAGTTAAATTCAAACTTAGATGATCATTATAAACTACTAAAGATAGTCATACAAAGTTAACACATCTATCATGTATCATAACGTTTTAACATGAATTTTGCTCACATTTAAAGCTAGAAAAAACAATTATTGCAAAAAAAAAGTAGCACAGAAACCCAATCACCAGACTCACAATTAGAAGTTACTCTGGAATAAACTGGGAATTTGTTTGATAATATTACAACTCCTGAGACTGCCTATTTCCATAGTTTAAAAAAGGGAACTTCACATTCATTAAACAATCAAGAGGATGATAACATTCTACAAACTTTATACCATGTCCTGTACTTATAGTGTTAACAGTTTCACTGCCATGGGAACATATATGCCACCTCACCCCCTACAGAGTACTACCATGCAAGTTCCAAATTTTTTACCACTATGAAGAAGGAGTATTTCCATTAACACTTCCCACAGTTTATAACTTTATAGTTTCAGATAAGAATTGAAATATTATCCAATTTTTTTTTTCTTTTCTAAATGTTGTTGAATGGCAGTCACGTAAATGAATTTCAATTTGAAAAAAACTATATAACAGTTAATAAGTACAATAAAATGATTTATTACTGGGAATAAATTGTTCAATCTATATGTTTAAATGAGATTATGTTTTCAATATTATTAGGATTTACCTAAGAAATAATGTTTCAATTTTAAAAACTTGTGATTATATATGAGTATGTATATATACACACACATCAGGTGTTAAGGCATATTAAACATTTTAGGTGTTCCTTTTTAAAGGAACAGCAATGTTTAACCGCATCAATTTACTGGAAGCCATTTTTTTTTATTATACCAACACATAAAATACTGTGTCATTCTTACACACAAATGCCACTGTCTTTATACACTTTAGCTTACAGAACTATGTTTATCAAACTGTACTTATTCTGAAGACTTGGTGTCAAAAATTTACTAAAACAGATTGCAATTTATAGTTTTAATCCCAACATCATAACAAAACCATATAAAAAAAACACTCTAGCAGTATAAGTCCTTCTTAACATAAAAGATTGAAATCTAATCTCAACCAATAAAAGGATCTGTTTGCTATATATTCAGTAATTCCCTACCTAAAGTAGAAATACCTCTTAAAAACTATACTAAATGCAAAGCAGTCTATTCTCCTCTTTCTAAATTATATTACATTGTTAGTGAATTTGAAGATAAAGTTCAACAAGAAGATAAATTTGGTATTAATAAACTTCCATGCTGTTTCAAAGACCCACTTTAATGTTAGGCTAGTGTGAAGTATTTTGTAAGTTGCTTCAGCAATTTGTGAGCTAAATTTGTCTTTTATTTTTATTGTACCAAAATAGCAAGTGAGAGCTTAATCACTGATACCCTCACATCTCTCTCGATAATACAAAATAAGTAACTGTCTTACATTAGGACTTCAATAATACTTTGGATAATTTGATATTCATGCAAGAATAAAAAGCTTAATCTTGGAGTAGAGCAATAGACTAAACAACCTAAATAAAAACTTACATGGCCATAGCCATCAGTGGAAAATTGAAAGTTAACATTTTCCTAAACTGAAAATGTATTTCTGATAGATACTTACCCTCTGACACAAAATAGCTTTTCTCAATTAGTACTCCCTTCTATCGGCACAAATTTTCAACGCTCACCACTAGCCTTCCACCTGCTTCTGCATATCCACATGTAAATGACTATACAGTAGCTCTCTACCCATAGGAGCACAACACAACCCCCTATTGTAACCAACACCCTCTCAACACTTGAACTGATTAATCACTTCAAGATTGGTCAGAAGACCTACACCACATATCACTGGAAGTGAGGAGGCTGGGTGGGAAATGTGAGCGGAGGTAAGTATCTATCAGAAATACATTTCCAGTTTAGGAAAATATTAACTTCCAATATGATATCTTACCTCCACTCAAAAAATAGCTAGAATCGTACACTGAACTGGTAGAGGGCTGATGAAAAAGTGATTCTCTTTTAAAAAGCACCCAAAGAGAGGCCACGAGGTGTGGAACCAAGAAAGAAAAAAAAACAGTTCAGCAGGAGACTGCACCAGATTTGATCCGCATACTTTTTGCTCTTTTATGAACGTGTCACGAACATAAAAGACAAAAAAAAAAACATGAAGGAATCCCATAATACATATTACCGATTAATGGAACCCTTGGGTGTTGAGTGGCTAGGGTACAACAGACCGTAGTGGTAGTTTGACCTCATCTAATATTTGGCGGTATCTGGAATTGTACATCAATTCCACGGTAGGCAGAGATCACCTTCCTCCTCACCTCGAAACAGGAATTAGTAGAGAATACGATCTTCTGTACCAAAATCTGTTTTCACTTGCACATATTTCTAACCCAAGTAACACCTGATCTACCTCGAACAGACATCCAGCAGATGGTAGGAAGGCCCCGGTGGGATGACATCTCCAGTCCAAAACCTGGTGCCACTGGGTATGGTTCTTTCAGACCGTGGTAGGAAGAGGATACCTGTCTGTACACAAGTCGGAAGACATGCTGCATCCACCTACAACCAACACCAGATCCAACATCTAGTACACAGTAGGAAGAGGGACCAAAAACATGAGGTGCATCTCCAGTCCAAAACCTGGTGCCATTGTGCATTTTTCATTCAGTCTACGATAAGAGGAGGGACACCAGCCAGAACACATGTGAGGATTTACTTAGCTGGACCATCTCCAACCAACACCTGATCCCCTGGGAATGTACATTTGGAGGATGATAGGAAGGAGAAATGCCATGGTGGAAAAAAGCAATATGCTAGATATATATAGATATTAATATGGCATAGTGCTGCAACCGAAATCTGGCGGCATTTGAAATTGTATATCTGGTCCACCCTAGGAAGTGCTATATGCAATTGACACCTGCAGAATACCACTGCCCTACTCTCAACTGAGTGGTATGATGCATCACTCAGGAGGACAGACCTCCATGGTCCACCACCACAGTGGCTAGGAACTGGTAAGTGGCAAGGACTCCTATACTTCACTAGAAGAAAGGAGGGAAAAATGCATTGGAAAGTCCGGGTGACCGCATCACCAGAGTCGATCAACCAACACCCGGCAGCATCTGGAACTGTACATCAAGTCTGAGGTAGGAAGAGTCTCAACTCCAAAGGGTGTCAGAGATCAGAAGCAATCCCTGTCTCATTACTCATGTGTGTCCATGAGTGTACAGCCTGGGGCAAACATATTTATAAAGCAAAAGACCACTAGCAGTCCTATAGAACACCCCATCTTTATGGTATGCGTAATTTAATCCTGCGACATAACTGTTTTGGCAAAGATGCCAATTGAACAGACACACTCAACTAACACTTGGCAGCATCTGGAATTGTACATTAGGTCCATGGTAGGAAGAGCAACAATATAATTGGCATTAAGCATGGTCACAAGATAGACAGTGCAGATTTTCAAAAACAAACAAACAAAGTATACCATGTCAGGCAGTATTCATCACAGAGTGGAATCCACAATACACTAGCAAAAATGACCTTATTGTGGTTCATGATAAATGCCACAAAATTTAAATGTATTGTCATTAATAAAACTTGACAACAGATTAAGTAAATTATAAAACAACAAGACATCTATATTTTGAGGCTTGTACATTCTACTTATCAGGCAGTGCTTTACAAAGAAAATATTTGGAAGTGATAATATTTTTCTCCATTGACCAAAATTGCAGACAGACTACTACTATTTTGGGCAATACCAACTCTGAATAACACATACATGACTAGTAGAAACATAAAGAGAACTTTCATAATTGTAATGGGCAAACTAGGGCTGTGGAAATATAATAACACAGCTATTGAGCAATGGAACAGCTTTGGGAAAGAGCAAAAACAAATATTGGTAGTGCACAGCACAGTTTTTAAAGTTGATGGTGCATTTGCACTACTAATGCTATACCCTTGGATATAAGCAGTACATTACAATACTACAGCACATAACATGACAAGTACTATATCTTGTGAACTCTCTTTTAAGTGTCAGATAATTAAAGTTACAATCTATATCATTACGTTGTGGGAAAGGTGAAATAAGATAGACTTAGTTTGGGAGTTCATTGGAATAACAGCTTTCTATTTATCCAAAAGCAAGTTGATATATCTAAATGGCAGTCAACTGGTACTTAGGCGAGTCTGTACATACACTTAAGGTGAACATAACTCATTTCACTAAAACACACTGTAATCAATTGGCCTAAACTTTAAATCCAAAAGATCATGTTAAAAACCCTATGTAAATCATTTTATTTGTTTAAAATACACGTCAAAAGCACAAACTAGAGGAAAGAAGAGCTTACTGAGATATAAGTATATGTAAAAATTTTAGTCACATCTATCTAGAATCCTAAATAATAATAAGAAAGATAATCAAAATGAAGATTTCCAATTTTCTTATTTATACACATGAATAAACACAAAAATCAAACTGTGCACAATAACATGGACAAAAAGAATGGATCAACCACCTCTGGAAATATATGAACATGAGATTGTACGTAAAAGCATTCTGAATCAGCTTAATGAATTTTAATGAAATTCAACAAACAATTAGTTAAGTCTAATTGAAAGCTAGGTCCTAAGGGCAGGGAAAAGGTTTGTATAAAAAATGAGGAATGCACACATCTTGTATATAAGAAACCTTAGAAAACAATTAATGGAAGAAAAAAAACAATATGTACATATGTGTATATTTATTATCAAGTAGCAAATATACAAAACTAAAAAGAATATTTACAAGCAAATGTGATATGTTTCCCCCATTCACACCTTATTCAATAAGATCCTTAGAATATAGTAGACTTCAAGAGATAAATTAATATTCAAGACAGGGTAAGGAGACAAAATCTTCATCATACATACTTCAGAAGAAAAAACACTTAACACAGTATCATGTTGAGACTTCTTTGTATAAAGAAATTATAAAAAACTTCCTATATTTGGGGTTTGTTTGTAAAGTTTCTAAACTTCTCCTTATATTTTGTTGTTCTCTGTCTAAGCCAGGTCTTATCACTTTCTCATGAAACTTTTGCTTGTAGCTATTTTCAAAGGAGAGCTTTATTAATGGTTTTTCTGAAGACATCTACAAGATCATAAAACATTACAAATGTAGGCTGTAACTGAGGAAAATCTTGTAACAAAACATTAATAATCATATTCTTAAATGATGATAGTTTCTTAGCAAATATAAACCTATGCTTCTGGATGGGTGGAAAATTAAAAAAAAATCCATCAATATGTTGTTTACGAAAGTCTCCTCACAACTTTGTAGAAATATGTTTGAATGCTTTTTCACTTTTCATTGTGAATTACACTAAATAAATGTTACAAAATAACAAAATATTAATTACAAATATTTTTGATTCAATAAGTGTTGAAATATGGTTTGAATTATTTCACTTAAATTTTGAAATCTGATACTCTGATGTATACTTTAGATCTTGAAATTGCTCAGTGCTCTGGAAAAGGTTAATATTGTATATCAAGAACCTATTCAACTGTAGTAAGAGCTTACCTCTACAAGACCACGTAATGTCACAATCTCTGGGGGAAGAGTGGTAAGGTTGTTTTTATGAAGTGCTAAGGATCGAAGACGTCGAAGATTTGATATTGAATGTGGAAGACTATGTAAATGGTTTTCACACAAAACCAAGGCTTGCAAGTTTTGAAGTCTTCCAACCTCTGCAGGAATTTCTTGTAAATTATTTCCTCCAAGATATAGTACTTCCAGTCTGTAGAAAACAATTAAGTTTCAGTTGTTATACAAACCAAAATAGACCACCTTTTAAACCATTGAGAAAGTATTACAAACAGCCAAACAACTTTGAAAATGAAATGTATACAGAATAATTATTCTTAGTACTGAATGAAAAAAAAGTTACAGGATATTATCCTTACAATATATGATTATAAGCTGCATGTACAGTTAATAAGCAATTACATACAGGCTTAAATCTACTCGTGTACTTAGGTATATAATAAACATCTTAGTTTATCCATGAAATACATAAATGTATATTTCCAAGAAGTAGGGCTGTTAAAGTGAATAGTAGGCTTTAGGAATTAATGTGGAAAGGAATGTGTAATGCATGTGACTGTAACGTTACCTGATAATTTATTAAAAAGATTTTGAATAGAAACAAGTATGTCAGCATTCTTTATTAGTTAAATCAGTATTCACACAAGCAATTCCAGTGAATTTACATATACATGTATAATGTTTCTATACCCCATATAGACAAACTATACATCTGCGTTATCATGTTTCTTAACAAACTGTAAAAAAATTACAAATAGCATTTCAGCACATAAACATCATTGATACAGTACTAACAACTAAGCCAAAACATGTAAATGTATCTGTGCGTGTATACAAATATATAATTTAACATTTATAGGCCTTACCTTTCTAACTTCCATATGTCATGTGAAATCTCCTCAATGTGATTTCCTCCCAGATACAATGACTTTAAACTTTCTAAATTCATCAGCTGGTGAGGTATGAATTTCAAGACATTTCCACTTATATTCAAAACTTCAAGAGATAATAAGGTACCAAAATCTTTGGGAAAGGAATCTTCATTCAAATTGTTTCCCCTGGCTATCAATGAATTAAGGTTTACAAGTTGTACTATACAATTTGGTATCTCCGTCATCTGATTATTGCTAATGTCTAATAAACGCAGATTCAAAAAATGACAAATAGTCTGTGGGAGATCATCTAATCTGTTATGATGAAGGTAGAGTATTTGTAGAGAGTTTTTAACAGACCCAGGGACATATTCATCATCGTTAATATTCACAAAGTTTTCTGCCAAGCTCACAACATCAAGGTCCATATAAGATAAATCTAATACAGAATCCACTGACCAAGCACGATCCTCGTTATTTCCTGCATTTTCACTTAAAGCAGCCCCAGAAGTTTCTTGTTCTTGCAGACGACCATGATTAATATTAGCCATTGCTAAAATAAAATCAAGCTTTTTGTTTGTCTTACCCAGTGAAATACCTTTTCACAACCTAGGAACAGTGAAAAAAGAAAAAAAAACATTACAACACAAGGGCATGTATATAATAATTCTCTACAAATTATCCATGCATAATTATTCGTCACTGTATACTTTGCTACATATATTAACAGCATATGTATAATACTATACAAAATCATAATTTAGTTGTGCTTATCATATTATAATCATATAAAAATTATCACATAGTACTGTAGATTTAAGGTTTGTTTTTTGAATTTATATAAAACAAAAACACCTTTAAACTATTAAGCACGTTGGACATGACACCTTCAATGATTTGTTTCTTACTTGTATACACCATAAACAAAAAATATTGTACAGGCTTGAAAACCATACACGTTTTAATCATGGGGCATATAAAAACCAAATGATTCATTAAATTTCCAAGTCAGATACTACCAGCATTTTGTGCATTGTTGTGAAATACACAAGTGCACATGGAATTTAAATCAGATACTATAGAACCAGTGCTTCAAGTGCCCACATAATACAATGTTTAAAATGAATTCACAATCCTGCCAACTTTATCCACACACTCAATGAAAATATCTTGAAAAAGAGTACACACATCAGGTAGGTAAATTAAAAGGTATTTAAGCATTTTCTAGATGATAAAATGCCACATTATGCAAAGAATTGTTTTATCTAACACAGAACCCTTGAGTTTGATGTATAGTGCTGAAAAATTCGCTTTCAAAAATTAGATCATAGTTAGAACCTGGAAATAGAGAATCTACTTAGTCCACGTTACTTTATCTAGCATAAACAATAGTGCACTAGCATGTGATATAAGGGCAGGTTGTTACTTAGCAGCTCACAGAGTGTGCTCGCAATCAAAGAACATAACTGCTAGTGTATTATTAGCTCGTTAGTAGCATTGCAAAATGGTTATTACTAAAGTTATAAATAAAACTAAGAAAGACACTTTTAGCCAATGTAGCGTAATTCAATCATGTTCATTTAGACTTTTATAAGGTGAAGGCAGGAGAGAGCTATGCCTTTCCAACAATATTAGTCGGACAGTCAGATGGTCGTATGGACAAATTTGTGGTTTTGTAAAATTTTTGTTTTTACTCTATCAACTGTCTCAAGTGCTTTGGTGGCTCCTTACTCTGTAGTTGGTTTGTTTACTACTCAACAGAGTGTGTAAAGTGCTTATAAAATTTTGCTAACATGCTGTTTGCAGTGTGCTTGAGATTTTAATTTGTATTGCACATCTGGCCCATTCCTACTAAAAGTGCTACCGTATTTATAAATAATTCATTGATTTGTATAGTTAAAATTTTGTGATACCAGAAAAACATTTCTCGAAGCTGTCCATATAAGCACTCGGATGTTGGTTGATTTTCACACTCAGTTGTTTTTCATATTTGTGGCATCCTGGAATGTTTCAGAATTTACTTCTTTACATGACTGAACAAGTTTAAAGCACTAATGTTAAACTATAAGGTGAACAAGTCTGGGCACCCTCTCCCATCAAATAAAGATGGTATACATGAAAGAATTTATTGCATATTGATACAGACTAACAAAAGTTTGATTAATAATCCAAAGTGTCTGACTATTGGCCTTCATTTTCATGACATAGGACGATACATCTCCATGTGTGATGTGACATCCTCCTTAGCATATTAGGGGTGACCTTAGCAAAACTTTCAACAATTTTTTTTTTTAAAGTGTTAGTTTCATATTGTTTCTTTGCCAGAGCATTACCAAAACACAAAAAACTAAATTGTTAATATGAGCTATAAATAAGAGGGGTGCCCAGACTTTTTGCCCACCCTGCATACTAATTTAACAAGTATAATGAATTGGATTGTTTTAACCTCCTTAGATCTGTTTGCCGTTACTTTTCCCAATTGGCACTTGCTTCTGAGTTACTGTATCTACACAATACAAATCTAGCTTTTTTTTATCCCACAACTTTTATATTGGTAAGAAGATCAGAAAGCACTACTGTTGACATAAGTTTTGAGTACAAAATGTAAATTCACTAAACACCATGCAACTGGCTTTCTTCTTTTTGAAATAATGCCACATCTCATCAAATGGTTTGGACATTATTGCATTTTGTCAGCAAACATTAAATAACAGTTTAGGAATCCAAAAAATAAACACCTGGGATAGGTACCTGATCAATAAATAGATTCACATGCCAGTTATAATGAAATTTGATTTGAAAATCTATGTCTTCTAAATACTTTTCAACCAATTATATTTTTATAAGGAATACACTAATCAATCCTTAAAATGGATTGCAGACCATCCACTTTTCAGGCCTTTCTTCAAAATTTGATTTGAAAATCAATGTCTTCTAAATACTTTTCAACCAATTATCTTTTTTTAAGGAATACAGTAATCAATCCTTAAAATGGATTGAAGACCATCCACTTTTCAGGCCTTTCTTCAACATGCACCTTTTCTGTGTAATCAATCACAACTGTTAAAAAGTTTCATCTTTGTATTTGATGCTTTCAAAATATGAGAAAAAATGAAGTGATCAACAAATTTCTGATATACAAAACAGCTAATAACTGCTACATCTTTGCAATGATTTCGGGTATACATGCTAAGCCTATTAAAACCTTGAAAAACTACCAAAGAACAAAGGTTTAGGCCTAAATGAAAACATTCAAACAAAACTAATTACACCAGAATAACCTACAGAATAAAATAGCTGGTAAGTATCCTATAACACTGTTGCAAACATTTCACACTTGAAAAGCTGGTAATTTACGGGCAAATGAACATCCTAAAACACATTAAATATTTATAAGGAACTTTCTGTAGCCTGTAGGTTTAATAATAATCTTAGCTTATTTTAACACCAATAATTACAAATTAAGGATGAACTATTGTATAAAATACTAAAAATTATTTACAAAACAGTACAGAAGAACTGTACCTTTTCTACAAGATTTCTTCTCGGGATATTTTACACATTTTTTCATCATATCTTGAGAATTATCATCACAATAGTAGTTTTAAAGAATACTTCAAAACGCAATACCATTAGTAAATGTAATATCATGCAATTTTACTGTTATGAAAATTATTTCTGGAATGTCCAAAACCAAAATACAATGAGCTTTTGAATTTGCCTCAGAATCTTCTACACATTCTTAATCTACCTATTAATAATGAAGCATCCCACATTTTTTTTAGGGTTAAATTTAATGTATAGGTTAGCTCAGTTAAATTCAAAGGGCTAAATTAAATTATAAAGAATCCACTGTGCTCTAAGCTTTAATTTCAACTCAGAAGACACTATGATTACACACATGTTCTACACAATAAAAAAAAAAAGGGTACATGGAATGTACAATTGTATATGTATATTTTGAACCTATGTGAGTAATGGTCAAACAATTTTTCATAGAGGAATGTATATTATACAACAAATAATAACATCATCTAATAAATTTAAATGAAGTGTTTCCAAATTCTACAGTCTGCAAACACAACCCTATGTCAGACATATTTCATTGTAGAAATTAGTTACATAGAAATTAGCATGTAATTACTGTATTTAATACTTAGAAAACAAGAATGATAATCCATTAGACAAAAGTTGTTATTTGTTGTAAAGTGAAAAGCTATGTAATATCTATTTTTGCTCTGCCCACTGCAGATATCAGCTCTGGGACAGCATGGCCTAGGGATTTGAGAGGTGGGGTACCTCATGATCTGAGGGTCTCACCCTGTTTTTTTGTTATGGCAAAGCTCCTCAGACTATTTTCTAGTGTCACAAATATTAAACTACTGACTAAAGATAGGGCAACTAGCTAGCAGCACCGACAATTGATATAATTGTAATTTCAATTATTTGATTGTTGGAATAAAATAAAACTAATAATCAGAAACTTCATAACTTCAGATAATTAGTTTACATGACACTAATCAGTGGAATTCCTGCTCATAGGTATTCAATAATATTGATTAATTGGTTAACTTGCCCAGCTCTACTTTCAAATACTCAAGATGCTGTAAGTTTGAGAAGTTTAAATTAATCAATACAATGGAAGATATAAAGAATTAAAAGAGAACTAGTTTGAAAAAAAGGAAAGGAATAATAAAACCAAAAAGATCTTATGAGAAACAGCTGGTTAATAACGTTAAAAGGACAAAGATTTGTTTTAAATACATGAAAATAAGCAAAACATTAAAATGTGGATTGGATTCTTAAAGGATACTGGTGTTTTTCCTTTTTTTTTTTTAATTAAGACTACGAGATAATTTTTCTCCCTCTTTTGATTTTAAAAGAGGGGGTTAGCAATATTCATGGCCATAAATGTGCCCCCCAAAACATTGGAAACTTTCTGAATCATATAAATCTCTTGGTGTTAAGTAAAAAAGACTGAGATTAAAAACAGATAATGCACCAAGACTGTAAGACCATACAATGTTTTTGAAGAGCAGGTACATGTTCTTGAGGATTCAAAAGTCAGCAATGTTACTTTACAATTTTAAAGTGATGAATAAGTGATACACTTGAAATTGTACACTAATTAATCATACTTCTTCAATAGGAAAAAGTCTAGTGCCTAACAAAAGAAACTTTACTAATGGTATAATTATCCTGACAAACATTCTTGTCTTTATTACGTGTATTACTATGTCCTCCTGATAACCACGTGGTTAGAGTTCCCATATTTGGGATCACAGGTTCAGAGATTTGAATCCTGGTAATTCCAGAAAAATGCTTTCTGGTTGTGAGGCATATAAAATGTCTGATATGACACCTGACAACATCCTGAAAATTCAATGGTTGAAACATTGTGAAATTAATAATACACCTAATAAAGATGAGAATAATAGTCCAAATAATTATACCATTAGTAATACTAAGATCTTGTCTCAATCATTCCACAGAAACTAAAAAAGAAGCTTTGTTAAATAATTTAGTAAAATATGATATCATAAGAAAGAGCCATCATGTATTCACTAAAGGGAAATCTTCCCATTCTAATCTGTTATATTTTTTTTATGGATATTACTTTTCTGGATGATGGAAAGGATGTAGACTTGGTATACTTGAGTTTTTTAGAAATCTTTTAAGGCACCATACAGAAGATTAGCTAAACCACACTAATAGAGGTTAGAGAAAGACTAGATAATTGTATTATAGAGTAAATGTATGAGAGAAAGTAAAAAGTAATTAACCCTCTCCAGATCATGGGTCAAAGCCCATGTCATCATGTTTGTTGACTTGCATTCAAAATTTTATTCAACTACTATTTCATGAAGGTATGTCAATAAGTTTGGTATCAAACTGTAGATTAAATTCAAATTTTAGTATTATACATTATTCAATTCCTTAACTTAAAAGTAAATATTGAAAAATCGTGATTTTTGTGTGTCACATAATATGTTGAATGCAGCATTGGTTCAAATTAGATGTTTGTGACGTCAAAATATTAAGTCTATAGTTTGTATGAATTAGGTACTCAAATTACCAATATTGACAACCCAAAATATAAAATAAGAACTTCATATCTTTTCTATTTGCTGAGATATCACTGATGTACTGAATCAAACACAGTGGCCCCAATCACATCTTTCCATTTTTGAAAATGGTCCTTTTTATACACTTATTTCAATATATATCGTGAATAACCAATCAAAAGCTCAGAATGTCCCCCTAGTGGCTTTCTCAGCCATTTTCATGTGTTAGGATGCCATCTAGTTCTTTTGACCCAAGGAAATACGTTGTGTCTTTAGTCTGCTTGAAATTTCATACTTTTTTAGACCCAAATACAGCTTAGTTACTAAGCTTGATAAATTATAGTGAAATTCTATGGTATCGATATAGTAATTTATGATTTTTTGGTTATTCAACTATATATATAAAACTTAAACTTAAAAAAAAATGTTTTGTTTCATATACTCCACATGCAAAATTTTATATGGCTTAGCAACCTACGTCAAGCAGCAACCGAGTACAAAGGTCATAACAAGAACAGATAATTATTTACTTTACTTCTTTATTTACTGTTCTATGTTTTAAGAAAAATAAGTTTAAAAACTTATTTCTAAATAGTAATAATCTATATACATATGTTTAATGTATAATAATTGAAATGTGACTATTTTACAACATACTAGTCTACTAAAACAGCCAAGACAGGTCACTTCGTAGAGGCTTAAGGTCCGGTTTCTATTATTGGATATGGTAATATGAGAGCACATGTGCCACGTCATTGTAACTTCTGTATTGTTAACCACGTACAGCTGAAAGTTCAATATCAAAAAAATTCTTATAATGTTATAATTTGTTGTCATTCTAGAACGAAAGAGGCATAATTTGTATTTATTTCCTAATTTTTTTATAGTGGTTACAAGATCAGTCAAATCTACAAAACACGTACAAAGATTCATTAGTGAAAATAACAGATAAAATATAGTTTTTTTTCTTAAGAAACATTTAAAAATGGGTCACCACTTTTTAATATACTTTCCTTTACAAAACCACCTCTGCATTTTCTGACAACCATGCTACTGATAATGGACATCAAACTGACTGCAATAATTGTAAAATCATTGAAAAAACAACATTTACAAATAAAATTAAGGCTGCTTTACACAATAAAAACAAACAGCTCTGAACAAAACTCAGGTTAACAAATTATCAACTTGTGGACTCTAGTAAAAAAACAACTCAACTAAATTTCACCATTTTAGAACCACTCAATAATCACACTTCTGAATAGAAGAACAATGTAGGAACACGTATACATTCCAGAGCCTTCCATCCTAACCACGATTGCCCTTATTTTATACATAACCTACTGGAACAGTGTCCTAGGACCTAATGAAGATTCACATTAGTGTGTTGAAATGTCTTCTCTGCTTGTGCATTTCTATAACGGACTGTCCTTACATACAAAAAATTTCAAAAACTACAGTGTAAAATTATTTGTTTTTAATTATTTCAAGTTTAATTCTTTATTATATCTAAACATATTTATGTAATATAAACTTTAAAGTCTTTTACTTATACCAAACTGAACAGGTAAACTAATATTTCATGTTACTTTTTCACTTCTTGAACCATTAATATTCAACTTAAGTTGAAAGGAACAAAATGTCCTCATCTTCTGTTGTATAATAATTACATGCTTCACAGTAAATTAGCATTTTGCACTCAGTACTAAAGTAATATGAATACATAAGTAATTTAAGTGCAAAATCCAATTAACTTAAAATAAACAAAACCCTTAACATTTCAACAAACTTGTCAGAGTTCAATCTAACATCTAAATAACAGAGGATTATCGTATCTTGCAAAATAAGTTAAATACAGATCTAACAGTTACTACTAGTACTACTAGCTTAATCAGATTATGCTATTGCTAGCAATAGCATCTACTTGTAATAATAATATTAATAACATATGTCTTAACTACTAGTACTAAAGAAAGTCTGTAGTGACTAAACACTAAAATAGTAGTTTAAATTCCAATTTTTATTTTTTAACACCATTATAAAGCGTGATTGTTCAGATTAAACTTGGGACTGTGAGTGTAACTAAGTTACATAAAACTTTTAAACAGCATGTTTTAAAAATTATAATGTATATATATGTTTGTGTGTGTGTGTATCCTTAAGACAAAATAACAAAGACATGTATTCACAACTTTTAACTATCATTGGCACAAAATTAATTATGTCGTTAACTCATGGTATTAACTATTACTATTAGACTAGTAATAGTATTACTATATTATTAAGTCATATTAATTAGGCTTAACAACACACGAATAGGATAACATTAATAATAATAACTCTGACAATTATTGAATTAACTAATAATATATAATCCAATTTATGATTATAATTGTGAAACAAATTAAATATAAACATTTATAAATACGATTGCTTATACGTACGAATAAGACGTTAAAATACAACCAGTGGTACTTTCATTGCCCTACAAATTAAATTCGCACATTGTTCTCATTCGACATCATATCATTTTACAGATGTCTGAACTTGTACCCCCGATTTCTTTCGAGTTTCTCACACACATGCTAAAACCTGATGTTGATTCTATTAGCTAAGTAGACAATATATTGTACTTGCTACTAAATTAATTTCAACATCCTATAACTATAAGTGAATTTGACAGCAGGATCACTGAAATGTGGGTTATTTAAGGATGCATGCGGATTTATTTTTAGATTTTAATATAAGAAATGCAAACAAATAATAAAGTACTTATCAGAAACACAGTAACACCAGTTAAATATTTAATTATAAACGTTTCAGATTTTTTAATATTCCGTCATCAGCATTAAAACCTCAAGAAAGTAAATTCACAATATTTCAAGTTGAAAAAACAAAATCAGCTATTGAGTGAGAAGCTTTTGATAAAGCGGGATTTCATAAAAACAACAACAAAGATTTAAACGCAAATAATATTATAAAACGTACGATAAAACGTGGGCACAACACAGATAGCCCATCGTGTAGCTATGTGTTTAGATAAAAAAACAAAAACACATTTTTTGGTTATATCAAACTTGCCCCCTCCCCCAGTGGCTCAGCAATAAGTCTTAGGGCTTATGACATACTAAAAAAGGTTTCGATACCAGTCGTAGCGGAAGTACAGATAACCAAAGATAACAACAAACAAACAAGTAACAAAAATTCCTCGTTAATGGATGACTTGTTTTGTGTTGTAGTTAGAATATTGTGAATTAACTTTTATGAAGTTTAACACTGATGTTAGAATTTGGAACAATTCCGTAATTAACGATATTTTTTATGGTATTACCATGTTTTTAATACGTATTATAAAATTTCGTTTTCCACCTGATGAATCAGTTGCAAATAAATTGGAATGCTAACCAATGATAAGAAAGTCCAGAATGTAAATCATGTTATTCATAACATCTATGAAAAATTGTAAGTTTGTAAGTTTCATTTGAAATTATATTTAAATGCATAACATAAAAATACGTAATCTATAAAGCTTAATTATATTTTTTATAAATGACTATATTTTGCTAATAATAAAGGCAGACTTTAATTGGGCAATAGTCAAAGCAAACTATCTCTCACTAAATCGTGATAATGGCCCTAGCAACATAAACCGTTTTTGGCAAGATCTATTCACCGCTCATAATCTTGACCTTTACCTATATCCTGCCACCTGCTGGTATAATTTCTGTCACGTTTAATCCTTGTCTCTTTTGTTTTTGTAACTATCTATACGCCTTATATTGCTTAGTACAGACCATATTTGAAGAAGACAGACCAATGTTCTGTAGAAATATGAAGTATGTTCCACCATCAATAAAACTCTTCCTTATGCTTATAAATCGTTGTTTGGCTACTTATTATTATATTAGCAAAATGTGCTTCCTTACTCAAGTAAATTCATAAAGGCCTTTCTTACACTTGTGATAGCGCTGCAAATGAACAATCTCTCTCTCTCTTTCTTTTTTTTTTTTTTTTTACTTTTTATTCATAATTTCATTTCAGCTTGAGAGATTGCAGGTTTGGTTTCAGCCAACAGAGGGTTATTCATTCTCTTTGGCTATGAAATGAACAAAAGTTCGAAGCTAAAAGGTTATAAGCGATGATTAAGATATCCAGATGAAAATGACATGACTGTGAAGGACGTGCAAAATATCAGAAGAATTGGGTTGACAATGGTAAAGAGCAGGAACCGAAAGACTTCTCATGTGGATGAGAGACAGAAGCAGTTAGAAGATTAATCCACCTGTTCTCGTGATCAGTGTAACCTGGTAGATTTGGTTGTGCCAAGTCATTCTTATTGGAATCATCTGGTGGAAGCGACATGGCATAGAGATTCAATAAATGATTAGTAGGGGTAAGGCTGAGCGCGAGGTTCTCACTGGCATGGAAAGCAGATCAGCATATATGACATATTAATTCAGAAAACAGCAGTGGACATACCGGGTTTGAAAGTCACGGAGATGATAAAGAATCAGCAGGGGAGCAATTCAGTTTAGAGATCAAGTGTAGTTTGACATGAAGCTGAGGCGAATAGTATGTTCCAGTACTTGGAGGTTTGGTTTGAATTTTGCGCAAAGCTACACGAGGGCTATGTGCGCTAGACGTCCCTAATTTAGCAGTGTAAGGCTAGAGGGAAGGCAGCTAATCATCACCACCCACAGCCAACTCTTGGGTTACTCTTTTACCAACGAATAGTGGGATTGACCGTAACATTATAACGCCCCCACGGCTGAAAAGACGAGCATGTTTGATGTGATGGGGATTCTAACCCACGACTCTCAGATTGAGAGTCAAGTGCCCCATCATCTAGCCATGTTGGGCCACCAATACTTGAAAGCGAGGATAAACGTTCGAAAAAACAAAAAATTCAGGCAGTGTGGCCGTACATGGGCGAATAAAACTAAAAATTTGAAAACGAGACTTTCTGCTGTAAACAAACTTTTTTTCTTATTGTGTATACATCTTTTCAAAGTTTGGAAATATAGTCATAATTAATTATGCTTGTCATAAGACATTAGTGTTAGACCTAGTATGTTTTAACACTAAATTCTTTATTCAGTCTACTATAGTTTTTAAAGAACTGTTGATGTAACAAACGGTCTATGTAAATAATGTTCCAACTACTACTTTGCTTGTGGTGTCCCACTCAGCCTAATGATCTCTGTATTGAGCGGAACTCATCGTTGGCATAGTGTGTTTAGAATATTATTATACACTTTTCTTCTTTAAAAACCATAGGAGAATGAATAAAGAATGTAATGTTGGATGTCTTATGACAGCAATGATCACGCTCAATAGATTTTTAGAGTCTGCTGTTAACATCTTTTTGGGCTTAATGCCGTTGCTGGTGTCTTTTCATCAATCACCCAAACCAGAACAATACTTTTTTGGTCCTTCTTAGCATAAATTCCGTCACGTCGCTTCCACCAAAAGATCCCACTCATAATGCTTTGCCGCAACTACATCTACCAGCTTACATTTCTCTCGAGGTGTGATGGAATGATATTCTGATTACTTCATCGTTCATCCACATATCATATCTTTTCTGGTTCCTGCTCTTTACTAAAGCTATACACACCATAGCTTATACTCTTCTACTTCCGTAGCACTTTTATTAATCTCATGGTCAAAGAGAGGGCATAGCCCTCTGATGGCCAGCCATCCCCTCCCCCCTTTTCTTGTTGTAGAGAAATAACAATTAAAGAAAAAAAATAATTACTGTGTTTGTTGAGTTCCAACTGTCTTGATGAGCGTTATACAGAATGAACACGTCGTCAACGATGAATATGTCGGACATAATGTGGTTGAAATACTATTATACACTCCTCTTCGTCTTGAAAAACACCAAGGAACTGAATAGTGATTCATAGATTCGTTAAATAATAAAACAAGGCGGATTACGCAGGAAATTAGTCTGGAGAGAGCATAGTTGAGTACTATCCTGGTAGTTAGTTCAGCACTGTTGTATAAGTTGTAAAATTACTAAGTTAGGCCTATACAGTATACTGATTGAATAACATACAGTTGAATAATATATAAAAATGAGAGATTTACTTTACCTAAATATTATATTTAGCCTAAAGCTTACGAGTGCGATTACTACTTATATATCACTATTTTTCAGTGGAAATGATCACTTTTTGTACATTACAAATGACGCATATAGCACCACTTGTTATTTCCTAAATTACATACAACTTAACTTAAAATAAGATCCAAGTTAATCTTTTCTGTAGATGGAAATCTGTTTTTATTTTTTTAAGTCTTGGAAATGTGCTTCTCTACGTACAATTGTTTCCAGATATCACAAGAAAATTGCAGCGAAGCATTGTTTTAAACAGACCTTCAATAGATAGCCACGTTTTCAAAACGTAATTATGTAAATTGGCGGGGAAGCTTTAAAAGCTTATCTTCTGAAGTAGTTGTAGTAATAGCTTTATATTACCTTTTCTTTTTCAATAACAAAAGGAAAATATTGAATAGATTAGAGTTGCAAATACATACCGTTTAAGCTTACAAATGTTTCATTATAATTTTTTATCAACAAATACATAGGGCAGAAACCTTAATTTTACAAAAGAGAAAACAAAGAGAAATAATGTATGAAATACATGTATAATTAGTGGTCTTTACATGCAATTGAACTTTTCTTAATAGGTATGCTCTACATTCACATGAAAGGAAACGCAACTTGTCAACATCACCCACCATAACTCTAAAGCTATTCTTTACCAACGATTAGTGAGACTGCATATAATATTATAACGTCACAATGGTTGACAGGGCGAGGAGGTTCGGTGAAGGATTTCAATCTTGCGACCTTGGAATTACGATTAGAGCACCCTAATCGCTAGGCCATGCCAGTCCAACCACGAAAGAAAAGAGACGAGTGAATTATGTTATTGTGAGTAATAATTGTACAATTTTACGGTGTTGTAAAGAAATTTTGTGTGTGTTTGTGTAATAATTTCCGAAACTTAGTTTTGTTTTTCTAGTTCTTTTTCCCAATGTTGCTTGCGCTAAGGTTATACGCTTCATTCAAGCGTACTTTGAGAAATTAAAACGTTTTTGAAGTTTCAGATGTGTAGTTTGTAAAAGTTTGGGTCGCCACTATTTTTGGTTTATGAGTATATTAATTCTGTTTTACAAAAATGTTAATAAATATTTGTTTTACTAGGAATCCTGGTAGTAACGTTGAATTGTTTTTAGCCGGAATAACATATTCTTAACCTAGGATATTACAGTTTTTGAAAGATTTTGCTTTAACCAAATCGGCATTCGAACTGAGATATGTTAAATCGCTTTTAGCCCAAAATCACAGAATGCCCCTACATAACTTGCACTGCGAGATACTTAACCAATCATGCCCAAGTTTTTTCAGCTAGCAGATGTGGATTATAGCTCTGTGGCTATATAAAATACACCTTTAAATAATGAACAAGGACTTTTAATGCATACTCACTAAAAACACATGGAAACATTCGTTGACTGATTGAATCAGATCTACATACACAGTAACCAATCAAAAATAATAATCCGGCAA